CGGTTCCGACGTGGTCTTTCTGTTCTTTAAAATTCAAAGCCACGAAACTTAATCGATAGTACTTTTTAGATAGTTCTTTTTAGATACTAGGAAAAAGATATTATCATTGTAATAGGTGAGTTACAAATATGATACAATGTTTTTATAGATAATAATAACAATTGCGATACAACTATTGATTTTATCTAATAGTTTTTATTTAATGTTTTAGGTGACAGTGAATAAAACAATTAAGGGTGTGTGGAGGAAGCTTCGTCTGTTTGTCTTTAACGAAGATCCTCGCGAAACTTGAAACGAGTTGGTCAAAGAACCGACTGAAGGTATTGTTGACCTTGCGTCACAACTTTATTTGGATGTTGACGAAGGGGATGTTCTCTATTTATTAAGTTCGCATAATCAAGAGCTTCCGTTTGACGATCCTACTGAAATTAGAAACGAGTCCACGTCTTTGAAGAAACATAAAAAATTGCAGGAAGAGCTGGAACTAATCGAAGACGGTTCAGCAATTTTAGAAAATACTCAAAGGTCAAAAATGGCGTAAGAAAATTGCTCGTCGCCTACTATGAAATTTTACATAATCAATAATTGTATACATGATATAAGGCAGGTCTGCATTATAGTATGTAGGGAGCATAAATATTTATAACCATCTATATATAAATGATACCGAAGAATAGTATACTAACAGTAACAGCACATAAATATTATTAAAATTTAAATAGACAGAATTCGTCTTGGCAGAAACTATAATAGCTGTAGCCATAACTTAAATGTCATCTAAGAAAATAAAGGTGGCCTTGGTTTATTGAAAGTTTCGAACTAGAATCACAGACGAGGTATACGAGTAAACCAAGAAATATTTCTGGCCACAGAGTATATTTTCGGTAAAGAATTTTTTTTTCGAAAATGCGTAGGATTTCGAGGATATGTGTATTCACCAAAAATGATTGTAATTGACCCCTGCAGCTAAAAATAATTTTTATTATAATGATATGAAATTTTTTAATTTGGCGAAAAATTTCAGCACCTATTCGAATTTTTTTTTCGAAAATGCGTTGGATTTCGAGGGTACATCTATTCACCAAAAATGATTGTAATTGACCCCTGCAACCGAAAATAATTTTTTCAAAGAGATTTGAAACTTTTCAATTTCGCCGAAAAATTTCAGGGAAACATATCAACGTATGGTCAGACATTCGGTAATGGATTTTTTTCTCGAAAGTGCGTAGGAATTCGAGGGTATGCCTATTGACCAAAAATGATTGTAATCGAGCCCTGCAACCGAAAATAATTTTTCCAGAAAGATTTGAAATTTTTTTTTTCGCCTAAAAATTTGAGCACCCCCTGTCAATTTTTCTTAACAATTTTGTTTTGATTTTGGCAGTGTTGCTGTCAGATTGGGCCACGAAAGTCCATAACGAGACGTATTTTATGTAGTTTATATATTATTTTTGTAACGAAACCAATTATGTTGTCCGAGCCGTATCAAGTACGAAAAAATACAAGATGCGTTGTCTTTTTGTCACGGGGTGTAATTCTCTGCGATCCTCAGGCCGTCTTCAGTAGCGTGAAGCGAATGGGAATCCAGCTCGTCGGTTAATGTTGCGGAAGGCGAAGCGAAACTGGCGAAATAAATGGCTCCAGTCGAGAATCAACCTGCATTGTGCCGCGCCGTCGATGAAATTGCAAGAAAGCGAGCGTACCGCCACTCCTCCCCACCTTCCCCCTCTCCACCACCCGCGAATCCAGGATCTATCTGAAAAGGAACACAACGGAAAGGCGAATAGAGGTCGAATTGGCATCAATGACGCTGCATCTCTGGAGGACGTCTCTATCAAGATCTTTAAGGCCGCGTTCCTTGCGCCGGAAACGAGCTCTGATAATTGGACGAATAAAACGGTTCGTGGGCCAGAGTTTCCGTTTTTTCTTAACGAAGGAAACTGATTTCTTTCGAGGGAGAATCCAGCTCTGGAACATCTCTTTTCTTCTTTCGCGAGAAACAGAGGAATCCCCGGGGAAACGAATTAAATTTCTTGCCAATTTTTGATTCACGATCGTTGCCACATATCTGTAGACTCTAACATAAATTACGAAAGTTTGTCCACGGGATTCGACCAAAGCAAACGTGCCTTTTAAAACAATTTTTTCAGCTCTGTCACGCGGGAAAATAAACGCGGGTATAAAATTTCAAAACGCATATCGGATGACTCATTACGCTTCGTGAAAGATTGGAATGGTATCGCGTTTGTACCAGCCGTGTGAATATAACGTTTTTTTGGGGGACAGAAATTGTGTAGAAAATTCCACGATCCGCGGCTTAGGATCCCGATAAGAAGCGTCGTGTATCGAAGTATTTCGAAAATTTATGGAAAGTCGCTCGGCAAACTTATTTCCCGCGTCGCGGCTTGTGTACACAGAGGCCGCGTAATATTCACTTTTATGAGAGGAAAGTCTCGTGAATTTCTTCTCTTCGTGGAAACTCAACGTCGTATGTGTAATAAAAGGACGCATCTTGAATGCATCGTAAATCGAACTACCTCGCCGTGACAAGATGTCTCTAAAGTCTGACGAAGTCAGATCTTAAGTTTAGATTCACCGAAGTATACGTAAAACGTAACTCGATACAACTAGAATATTGGTGCAATTCGCGTACAGCGAGTGATGAAAAATCTGAACGTTTCCAATGGGAAATAGAACTCATAAAAAAATACCAGACGCCTTCGTTGTTCCCTAAATTAACCATGTACACCTAAAATCATATATTATTAGCTTTGCTATTTCAAGCCGTACCACTGCGCGAAAGCTCATTAAAAAGTTATCGTTACACCTCGGGACTTCCTGCGAGGCGTGACTAGACGATTATCTAACACAAAAACGTTTATAACTCTTTAAAAAGCCACGGAACAAATATTATTTATGCCTTTATTTTGCAGAAACATTTTGGACAACGTAAAGGAACCTTGAAAAGTATTACATCACTATGAAAGTTACGACTTTAAGAGATTCTTGATGACACCGCTAGATGGTTATTTGCTGAGATCTGTTCCCACAAGTGCATTAAGCAAATGACTCGGTCGTTGCATGGAAGGTGTTACGGCCTAGTTAGGCAACGACTGCGAAGATTCTGACATTTCGGAAACTGTTTTATTGCCTGCTACATTATAAATTTGGGTTTTAGGACAGCCATACGTCTCGAGCATGGGCCATTCAAATAATTAACTACGCTCCTTCGAAGAGGAACAGAATATTAAGAAGATCATGCATCGAATTGTAAGGGGAATCCTGTAAGAAGGCTTTAAGATGGTTCGTGATGGTTATTCGATGGTCAACAATTGGTAGCTTACGGTAATCGATGGTCAACAGTGATTAATTTATGGTCATTGATGGCCAACAATGAGCTAACTCTTATTTCCATGAGAAACTTCTTCCAAACTCTTCTTAAAATAGCAATAGAGTAGAATTCCTGCATACTCTTTCTAGGGTCTGGAAGAAGCTAAACCTTCAAAGGAAATAATACATCACGGATTCCTACGGACGATAACCTTTCAAGAAAGCACTATCCCAGAAGTCCCACAAGGATCTCTACCCACGCAATTATTATAAAATCGTGAAAGTCGGTATCCTAGAGGCATCACAGTCCGAAAATCTAGCGGGAACGAGTAGCGTCTTCTGAGCCCATGGTGGGCGTCCGTGGGTGGCGTTCGCGCAGGGTTCGCAAGGTGCAGACGCCCCCGGTGCTGCCGCCAGGGCGGCCGAGGGTGGCGGAAAGCGGGAAACCAACCACCGTCCACAGTTCACTGCGGCCTCGCAAGCCGTTCGTAACGATAGGTTGTTGGCTCGCGTCGCGTAAACCGGTCCCAGCCGCGATGTAAACAAAAACGCCAGGGATCACTCGACTCTGCAGCTGTCCTCGGTTTCGGCTGACCAGTCTCCGAACCGTTTGTCACCTAATCGATCGAAACTAGTCAGCGTGGCGCCAGAATCATTCTCGACACGTGGGCGACAGGACAGTCTTGGATCACAGAGCTACCTGCGACCGTCATCGAGGAAGGATCAGATCGAGGCGACAAAGGCACAAGAGCGTTATACGATACGCGAGACACTCTGGTTGTTGCTTCAACGCTAGGAAGAGGATCAAAAGAGTGGGGGACTTGGAGCACCGGTGGCCACTTTGTAGGTGCGATGGACTTTAATTACAGCTTCGTTGCAGTGCAATGACACGGTCCCTAAATTCCGAGTAATTGGGTACTCCGCGAAGTAGGGCTCAGAAGAGGATACCGAGGCAAGACAATGCTGGCACGTCGAGGATGGTGATGCACTTTAGGAGGAGATCCAGGGTCTATGTACCACCTTGTAACTTGAACAAACTGTAGACGCTATTGGGTATCCTGATCGAATCTACCAGGTGGTGGTCAGATGTACCTTTTGAGAACTGTAGACGATGTTGGTCGACTGGTGAGCTTCAATTGTTGTTTGAGTCTTAATAAAGATAGCCCAACAAGACGCTGTAAATATTAATCATCCTCATCAATGAAGATACACTAAGGGGACTAATAATAACAGAAGCTGTAAAGTGAACCTTCATCACATCCTGTGCATCATCGAGTATCAGTAATCTTTATCAAGAGCTCTGCCAAGTGAGAAACTGTCAACCCTTACATCAAAAGAGTCCATCAAGTATCATAAACTCTCTCAACGACCATAATCCCTGAAAAAGCTCCACATTACCCACAATTGAGAATTTTTTATATGAACTATTTCTAACAAGTACGCTAAGCGAGATTCGCTGTCTTCTCTCGACGACAAAAGGAGCTTCCGGGGAGAAATTTCACAGTGGATGTCCCGAACGAATGAAACAGAGGTCTGTCAGTTAAGCGAGTAGTGTGGAAACTGTTTGATCGGAGAATATTGACAGTGGACCACGTGGTCAATTGTGTTAACAAATGTTTCCAAATGAGATGTTATTTCTGGCCGAGAGATTCGCCGACGTTTGCCAACGGTGAGCCAAGAGGAAGTTCGAAGGGTGTAGATGCGACACTTTAGGACGATGTGGACAATTATCGAGGTCGGTGTGGGAAGTTAATTGTAAACTGTGCACGGTCATGAGAATTTCGTTGCGAATATGACAATGCAACCGGTGTATATTGGGAACCAACGCACCTGTGGAACCTTGAGGTAAATTGTTCACCTTTATTGCACTTGAAATATCACTCTGGTTACGTTCAATATTGCATAGTCTTGGGTATAGATAGCTAGTTGGGTAGTTGCACGATTCTCGTAGACATTTCTCCACCGAAACTTAGTTCTTTTTCCTGAATACGCGAGTGTTCACTAGTTAGCACCAAGAGCACCTGTCAATTCGTTTATTAACCAATTATAAATTAAATTAATTGTTATCAGCGGCATTTTCTGCAGAAAAATTTTCTCTCGAGATTTTTGTTTTGGGGAAATAATTGTTATACCAGAACTTTTCTTTATTTTTATTAAGTCTTAAGTCGGAAAAGATTGATCAGAAAGCTCTGTTCTCTCAATCGTACCGTACTCGATAGAAGTTTTTAATCGTAAAGAAGTCTGCGTGACACGGTCCGTCGGACGGATATAACAATGGCGAAGAAACGTAGTTGCGGAGGCGAAGGAACCGTGGAGATACGAAGTTTAAAACGCAGGTGCGCGAAGATGCAAAAGAAAATAAAACGAGCATGATTTGAATGCTGACGAGCATCAGAGAAACTGAGTATATACGAACCAGAGAGATACGTTTGACACAAATATCTCGGCTGGGTACTGTTTTCTGAAGAAAGAAAACAGTATCGAGTACGTCAGTAATATAGCTAGACCGTATGTCAGACACAATGGTGTCTTCAACGATAATAGAATGAATTTCCATCTTGCAATGATTCCGTGTAAAGTAGAATATTTTATATTGAAATTTCTTAAAAAGAAACAAAAAAGGAATTTTTAACAAACACTTTGTATTTTTGAATTTTGTATTTCTTTGGAAAAAAAAAAATAAGAATATAGAAAAGGTATTATGAATTAAAAGTCTAACCAACATCTGGAACGAGGCTGTATCAATATTTAGTATGATAAACCCTTATACTCGTAATTTCATACCCTTTTTCGCCTCCGTGCTAGCTTTTCTTTTTTTGCAGGTACAGATCGTTATTTATTTTCGTTCTGCGAGCATTGGTAGCATTTATTCGCGTCCCTTCGTGTATTTAAAGCAACTCGAAGCCGTCCAAGCTCGTAGCCACCTTCCTGCATCTATCCACGAAGCGAGACAACGCGCATTCTGCTCCAGAAAATCCCCGCGACTCTCATTGCTACACGATTCTCCTAATTGCCGCGGCAGGTGCGGCATTCCTGCTCCAATATCCTCGGAAAATGCGCGCGGCCGCAATCTTAATAAAAATTTACCCACCGCGCAACATTTTTACCTTTAACGACCACGCGTCCCGTATTTAACGCTTTGCATCGGTTTTAATTGTCGACGAGCTCGAACACCGAGCCCAGGAATTTGTGTGCAATGATTTCGAATTTAATCCGCTGAAAAATTCACGGAGTAAATATTTGTGAACACCTGATTCAGCTTTATTGGTTCTAAAAATTTTCACTCGCTGTTCATTGATTGCAAGTGTTAATTGGTGCCACTCCCCGGGTCGCCACAGTATTTAATGACTTGGAAAAGCCCCTCGTAGACATTCGAATCGAAGTAATTTTAATTCGCATTTAATTCAAAATAATTTTTGTCGTCGAATGTCTCTGAAAGTAAGCGATATTTAACGCGTGACATTTGCATAAATGACGCGAAATCTCGTCCAAACGAGACAATGGTTTCACGCCGCGTTGCTCGTCCCTGGCGGGAATAAAAATGTTGGAAAACATGAAATACCACGCCGATGGCTGGGTTCATTCAGGGCTGATAGACTGCGATGATTTAATATTCCGTTGTAATTGGGTTCATTAACGGGATTCAAGACCAAAATAGAATTTGTGAATAAATTTTCAGCTCCGGTTATCTTGCTGGATCAGCATAATAACGTCACAAATGGCCTATACGTTTCGAAGCTTTCGTTCGATAATTGAGTCGTGTTCCGTGAATTTTGCAATTAAAAAATATATTCGTGACGTTTAATTCGACCGAAATCGATTTTTCAATATTCAAAATTGGTTACCGTAATTTTCCTCCCGAAGCATTTAGTTGGAAAAATATTCGAAATAAGTTATAAAGTTCACTTAATTATACGTATAAAATAATTATTAACGTTAATATTTATAACAGTGAAATATCAATGATATTGATATTTAAATGATTATCGATAAAGGTGTCTTCAAAATTGAGACCCGAATTTTTTTTTTCATCATTGTTTTCACAGGCAATATTCAATATTTATACGAACAATAAGAAAATTCAATTGTTCGGTTTGTTTGTGTAATTGCAATAACAAAAAAAAAATATAGTTACCGGATTTCTCTCACGCTGGATAAACAATTATTTTTGCAACAGATGCGCGGAGGTGTTTGTTTAACACTGCGATCCTATCAGAATCCGGGAACCGTCGGTCAACGATGCTTATTTATATTTTGTCGAAATATTGCGCCAGGTAATCAGCTTGTAACCCCATTTCGCAATTTAATTTTCTCTGCGATCGAGGATACAGTTATCTCCGCGATTGAAAATTCCCAGAATTCCATTTCACGTCCATACAACAGAGAACAATTAAGACCAAAATGTTGCCCAGTACACCAAAACTGTAGTTTCATTATTCAAGTGACAATTGCAATAACTATAATAAATTTCAAAATTGATACAGTGGAAATAGTTTACAAGCTCTCATAAAAATATGTCTAATAGAAAGAATTGATAATCTCAGAAATAAATGTCTAGTAGAAATAAACTCTAAAAAATACATGAAAGTGATATTCTCCAATTTTGATGAAAAGCACAATCGTAGAGTAGCCAAAGATATTCGAAACGTATTATTTTCATCAGCAATTATTCATGTTTGTTCATAATAATTAAAGCAACGATCAACGTATAATAAATACGATAAACATTAATTGATTGTTGTTAATCCTCTGTCTCTGTAAATTTCAGGCAGTCACGATGTTCAAACTCCAACCGAGGCTACGCTTCTCAATCCAGCAGCGTCCACTGGATCAAAATCGAATTGGACACCGTGCCGTCTGGAACCTAGCCAAAGAAAGTTCCCCCGAATAGCAATTTAGTTTCCGAAGTCGTAGCGGATCAACGTCCATCGACACGTTCCAGGATCCTACGCGAGTCGGTGAATCGTGCTCGTATTTTCCCGCGGAAATGTTCGCGCCATATCGTCGGCCAACGAAGCTCCCATCGATGGCTGAGTCACGTCTCCCTCGAGATCCTAGGAGCCTAGAGAGGCTGCAGGTCTAATCGTAGCGAGCTAAGTAAACGTCCACTTCCGTTCTTCGATGGCCTGGCAGGACTGTTTGATCAACCGCCTCGTCGACGATGATGAAGAAGAAGGGGAAGAGGGGGACGAGGAGCATCGTGGACCACGGTAACGGAATAAAACAATAGACATCCAGAGACACCTACGAGAGATGCAGTCGAACGGAACAATGGACGAAGATCTGGGCAACGCAACGGAGCTACCCAACTTATCCAACGTCCTCATAGACACTGGCCAGATGAATGGCTCAGACGTCTACGGCCACGAGACCAGCCACCAGCTGGAACACGTTCTTCTGTTGACGGTGAAGGCCACTGTGATGGGCTTCATCATCCTAAGCGCCCTGTTCGGTAACCTCCTGGTGATAGTGTCGGTGATGAGGCATCGCAAACTCCGCGTCATCACCAACTATTTCGTGGTCTCGCTAGCCCTGGCCGACATGCTGGTCGCCATCTTCGCCATGACTTTCAACGCATCCGTCGAGCTCTCCGGCCGATGGCTGTTCGGTTACTTCATGTGCGACGTCTGGAACTCGTTGGACGTGTTCTTCAGCACCGTTTCCATCCTTCATCTGTGCTGCATCAGCGTGGACCGTTACTACGCGATCGTCCAGCCGTTAGACTATCCACTGATAATGACCAACTTTCGGCTGAGCACCATGCTTAGCGTGGTGTGGTGCTCGCCGACGGTGATGAGCTTTCTGCCCATATTCGCCGGATGGTACACCACCGAGAAGCATCTCGAGTTTCGCAGAAACTACCCGGACGTTTGTGTGTTCCAAGTGAACAAACTGTACGCCGTGGTCAGCTCCAGTGTCAGTTTCTGGGTGCCCGGGATCATCATGATCGCGATGTACTACAAGATCTATCAGGAGGCTGATCGTCAGGAGCGCATGCTGTATCGGTGAGACACCGTTCGCTTTTTTAATTGTAGTTTTAGAATTCTTTGAGATTCGGTGATCTTTTGAGTGTCCTCGAAACGCGGACGCAGAAGATTTTGTCAGGTAGACTGTCGATCCTTCGAAACGAGGGTACATTTGGGAATTTTTAATGAAAAAACTAGCTAACCTATGGCTCTAAAATTAATTTCACATATGTGATTACTATCGCAGAGTGTCTACAAATTTTTACATTCTGATAGAATTAATAATTTGTGTAGAAAAAAATTGGTAAAGTCACGCTTAATCCTGAATTTTGAATTTTATGTTTTATTTATCATGAAAACTAGAGATTGCAGTTGAAGGTAAATCAATTGGCACCTGAAGGTCACCGAGGGCTTATCTCTGGTACAGCCACAGTACCATATACAGTACCATAACCTCTGAAGGGGTTATTCCCAAAGGAGACGAAAATACGAGAGACAGTATGGGGTCTCCCCACTTTTGCCTAACCGTTGGGTCGAGGACACATTCTCTTTGCTTATCTTCGCCCTAACTCTCCTCTTATCGAGCAAACCTGCGAGCACATACTCTCTGTCTCAGAGAGACAAACTAATATAACGCTAACGTGGGATCGTATTTGATGTGGTTCACAGTTGGACAAGTGGACTCGAGAATTCAATTGTGTTTGATTCGAGTATAACAAAGAGATTTTAGGGGGAAATTTTAATAAATGTCCGGCAAGTATAAGGGCTTCCTACAAAAATAAATACAGGGATTGTTATTTTTCCAATAGCATTGCACAACACTTTCACGATAAAATGGAAGCATCATTATAAAATGCTACTATTCACCTACAAGATAAACTCGGTTCGGTTCGCGGTATTATTACAGTTATCATAAATCAAATTGCATAGGGTTCGTAATTGATGTAACAATGATGCCCCCTAACTGTATCATGTTTCAACGTAAATCTATTACATTCGCAGATACGTATATACCAGTCAATTTACACTGAAATACGTACGGAATTCTCTAGAGAAATATCTCAGGTTTACATTTGACTGGAGTCTCGTTTCTACTTGTCAACAGCGTAGGAACATTCTCTTTTTGCATTAATTACGCAGGGATAAAGACGGAATCATCGAACCAGTAATTTTATTTATTTCCATAGAGTGATGATTCTTAAAATGAACACCAGACGTACTCGTGATTCGTAAGTTGAACATTTCTTGGAAAGATAAAGGCGATTTCGAGGCTCAACGACGCGTGTATATATATCAGCAGGTGTCGAGTTTCGTCTCCACTGTACCAAAGTTGAACACGCTCATTTTAAGAATCATTATTGTAGAAGTTGAGACAATAGTCTAGCAGCTTTCCGAATCGAGCATCGACGAAAACTCCGTCCCGATAAACGGAGTTCTGTGCCTCGAAGTCGTTACCAACTGCACGCTAGAGTTTTACCGAAGCAAAGCATTCGATCGTGCCGTGTAATTAGCTCCGTTACGTTTCACGAATAATCCACCGGTTGCCGTATCCACGGTTCGCTATCCCATCAATTATTTAAGCGACCAATTATGCGGAAGGCTCGACGGCGCATCGAGATTTCAAGAGCAATTCGAACCGTCTCTCGACGAGTCGGTATCGTGCTTCCGCTGGAGATCGAGCACAATGTCGCGACCATCTTTCCATCCCGGATCGTTTCGCGGCATCGACGACGGATAGAGAAATAAAATTCGTTCGGAGTTTCTTCCATTCGATGGGAAAGTATCTAACGCGAAGTGCACGATCGTTTCTAGACGCTTCCGGATGCTCCGAGCATCGGAAATATCGGGACGCAGATTCCTTTTTCTGGCCGACCGGGAACCGGCCGGAAATTGGATGTGTCAACGATGCACGGAAATTGTCGGCGCCGAAGACAGCTCCGCGAATACCCGTTGCTCACCATCGCGGAAGATTAATGCCTTTTGGTACGCGGCTGGGCGTTTATGCGCCTTCCGAGGGTTGTTCGATTCCGCGGAGTCGGAAAGGAGGGTGGGTGGAGCGTGGGAGATGAGCTAGTGGGAATAATGATGTCCCTTGAGTTTCACGCGGACGATGAATTATTTCCTTTCTGTCTCCAAAGAGTCGATATTGTTTATTTTTTCATAAAACTCGCACGCTTTTAGGAAATCTGATGGATTTACTTGAGATACCAGTTTCTAGAGATCATAGACTATACATAGAGAAGACTTATTCGGTAGATAAGTACAACAGTCGATAGCTGTTTCGCATAAAAGCGGGGTAGGTAGCGATTCTTATCTCCAACTTGTTCAGATTGTCCAACCTCCCGAAATTTGCTATTTTATGAACAGTGTTTCTTCCTTTATACGTAGGGGTAGTTTGGGATTATGAATAGTCTTCTCTGCTAATAGCACCACCAATGAAGAAGCGATGAAACGTAATTGCTCCGCTGGTATCTTTGCTGATGGGGTAGTGATAGGGAGGATAACTATTTTTTGGTCCATTATATGTATTATCGTTGTTCGCGCCGTGATTGCAGTATAATAACACTTTAGGTGGCCGAAGATATCTGGCAAGAATGTTTTCGGTGATTTACGTGTTGCTGTTGAACGTAATCGTTGGAGGAACGAAAACGCCATCATCTCCCAAGGAGATACCAGATGGCTAAGCTTGGGGTGGTAAATGGAAAGGCAAGGATGTCTTCCGTTAAGAGGGAGGGGTGGCTCGTGATTATGAATCGATCTTGGTATCCGGCGAACTGAAAGCAAATGCGTTTCTTATACCCTGTGACCGGGTTAGATGTACTCCCACAAACGTAGCATTCGTGATATTGAACCGTCGAGAACTATTGTTCTCTTCAAAACAAACTCGAAAAAATATTTTTTACTGGTACTACAATTTATCTTAATATTATATCATTTTATTAATAGTAATTTTTCACGTTTATATTTCAATTTTAATTTATTCCATTGCCTTGATATTTGTTCGAATTTAGTATTCCCTTGTATTTTCTGTATCTCTTAATATCGCGATGAAAAATAATATTACTGGACATTTGAATTCCACTCTGTATTATTCCAAGAAAACGTACTTATTGTCTTTCTTTCTATCTCCGAGATATCGTTGGTATTTCTTGTATGCTTTTCTTTACGTAGAAGTGGACGTAGAATATCTTAGTCAATGTACGAGGTCAGGTTTTAATAACAATAATTTCAGCTGTACCTCGTTTCATTTTTATCTGTATATTGCTATTGCACGGCCTGAAACAATACCTATTAAATATGCCCGCTTTCAAGTGACAAAATCGCCAATTCACTTCAAAGCGATCATCGCCATTTTTGTTTATTTGCACTTGACGATTCCTGTAAATATTCTTACGCGGACTAGCTTTCCCCAGTCGACTGCACATATTTGGCCCCATCGAGAATTTACTTCGCAATCATTATAGCATCCAACAATGCTCTATTAGCTCGATAAACGGCGGAACAAATGCGAGGCTCCCGGACGGAAAATCTTTCAATTTCTCGTTATTGAAGCTCTCAGAACGCTTTCATAAATCACTGGAGGCAGCTATAAAGTCCAATACCCGCGACGTCGACAAACTGGCAATTAACTGGCAATTTATCGAGCCAGCCCTCCTCCAACATTCTTCTTCCCGGCTTCCAGCTGCGCGACTAGATCTTCGATGCATGTATTTACTCGACGGTTCGTTTGCGAGCGCCCCCGCCGCGACAAATATTGGATTATGCCTTTTATTTTAATTCTTTTTCTATAAATAAGCTAGGGTAAACACGCGTAACATCGAATTTCCATTCAACAATATTTTTACGAAAGTAATCGTTCGTTTTATAACGAATCGAGTTATAGTTTAGGGTCGTGAAAAGTCTCAGCTTGCAGAGATCGTCGCTAGGTGGCCGTAAATGACTCGAAAACATCGCTAAATAAGATTCTACGGATTTATAGCTAAACAGTTCAAGTAAGATTTTTATATTTAAGTGGAAGTTAAGATCGAGGGTGTATAACGTTTGTACTGGACCAATATAAAATGGCGGGATAACGCGGAATTACCGAACGAAACGCGTTCGTAAAAATTTCTGTAGAAGACAACTTGGGTGGTTGTTTCTTGGAACTAGCGCTGGAACTTGGTATAATGGCGTGTTTCTGTGTTATCTTCCGTTTTAACAGTCTGCGAGCACTCTGACTCGACGAAGGGGTGGGGTGGTGTGTGTGTGTGGGAACATAACGCGGAAAGTAGCAAATTAGAGCGTCTTAAATTGAACTAATTGCGAGCGATTAAAGTGTCTGTCGAAGTTATATGCTCAGTGATAACAGTGGTTGGCTGGGAACTTAGGGAAATTTTGTTTCGCGCACTTTCCCAGCTAATTTCCCAACGTTCTCGTAACTACGGAGTACCCCTTGTCGCTTCGTTGCGTTGCTGCAACGTCGCGAAGTTACTCGTTGGCTAGTCAAAACTTCTGCAGCTGTTTAGTCTTACGGATGCAGAAGTCCCCGGTTAGGAGAAATTTCATTTAACCGGGCAAGGTGGCGTTTCTGTTCCACGAATTAATGGTTCGTTCGAACTAATAAAAATTCGTAGTTTTAGGTCTTGCTTGACAAATTTTTGTGTCCAATGGAAGGGCAGGGGGGGAGGGGGACAACTCTGTAGCTTTGTCTTTCGAGTTCGCGATTGGTTGCCAGTTTAGATTCTACAGAATGGCCGCTAGGGAGATTTCGAAGCCGATTTCTCGGATTACGGTAGCGACTGTCCAGCTTTTGTGGTTCCCAGAGGGTGGTACATCCGATTCTTCTATTTTTCCCACCCCGCGAAAGGGATGGGAATCCATACGGAAGCTGCTCGTTTCCCCGGATAAAGGGGGAACGAAAACATTCGGAATAAATTTCAGAGTTTCATTGCGACAAAAATGGACGAAAGATGCGACATCTTTTCGTCTCATTTGTGTTTCCAAGCTTGAACTTCGTGTCCCAGAAAACTGATCTGTATCTGTTTCAAGATAAATATTCC